TTAACGCCGGATTAACCATGTGTCAGATGCGGAAAATGCCACGGGTCTCGCGCTTATGGGGGCATTGCGCTTTACTGTGCCACGCCCATTTTTACGAGAACACGGCCATTTTCTATTGGGACACACCCATTTTAGGTGCCTCGCGAATTTAGGGTCCCTAGGCTTGGCAGTTGGCCCCAGCACGGCCCCGGGAAGATATGCAATACTCGTGTGCATATAATCTCCAGTTGCGTTGAGCTGTTATATTATGATCCTGTTTATACATGTTGACCCAACAACTGGGCCAGGCAGGCCATTGTCTCGTTTATAATTGATGCTAATAAATTGAAATATTGAAAAAAATTATTTAACAATTTTGTGTGTCTTTAAATTCAAAGGTTTTCATAACAAGGCGGAGAGTGGGGGGGGGGGGGGGGTTGGGGGCCTCGCGCTAAAATCTGCCACGAGCCTCGCGCGACGTTAATCCGGCCCTGGTCACTTGTCGGTAGTTCTTGTGGTTTTAATGCCAATTGCCAAAGAACGAAAGAGAGCACCGATGACTTCCCCCGTCGGAGAATTACTGGCGCAGCCCAGGCCAGCTCAGTGAAATATGGGGGCCCAGGGCCAATTATATCTTTGGGGCCCCGGTGAACCACAATAATTCCCCTCCCACCCCTCCGTCGACAAACTTTTTACCCCCTTGCAAATTTGTATTTGCCGGCCCTCCTTGAGCTGGGGTCGCGGAGAAAATTGCTCCCTTTGCCCCCCCCCCCTGCAAGGGCGGCCCTGGCGCCACCCCTGTCTTATCATAACTATCTACTTCAAATAATTTTTAAAGCCCTGGTCTTTTTCAAGTAGTTTTTTGTCCCGAACAAGTAAAAGACTTAGAAATGGTGATTAAATTATTTACTACGGTATGTTATTTAATAACGAGCAAGGGTTATGGTAGGGATTTAAGTTATAAAGTTGGTGTTTGGAATAGGGTTAGTGTAAAGCTTTGTTACGTTTTGTCATTCTGAGGCCAGCGAAATAACCTCTTACGCAACATGCATGCGTACGCGTCTACTATCGTCAAGAAACAATCAATACGTATAATCGTTGTGGTCTGTGGGATTTTAATGAGATTTAATGACCTTGCAGTTTTAACATACATTAGCCGAATTCATATTAGAGACGGGAAACTCGTATTAGACGGGAAACTCGTCTTAAATTCGAATTTATCCGTCCCTAAATTCATATTCAGGCGGGTTTTCACAGACGAGTTTCCGTCTAAGACGAGTTTCTCGTCCCTACTATGAATCCGGCTATTCAAATATAAGGGCTGGTAAACTAAAAATAAAAACTCCTTATATTGATAAACATTATAAACGTTCATTTCATGTCACGCACGCTAACACCTGCTTAATAATTAACTTACGTCTTCGTAAACATTATAGTCGATACATAACGGTACATTAATTTAATAATATGGACAAAATGGAACAAAACCTCTGAAAACAGCAGTTGTAGTTCTAATTATTTTGGTAAATTTAGTAACAAATATAATCCCTAAACAGCTCATCGCTTTGTATGCTTGTTAGCGCTATTAAAAGTAGACAATATTGAACAGTGATCTGAAGTTATCATGCAACTGACAACAATATGATATCTCAAAATACCTGTATATGATGATATTTCACAAATATATCGGGATTTCTGGACCAATTTTAAACTTAGCAAGGCAAAGAGTCTCCATTCAAGAATATATCTTCTTATCAAAAGGTAAAATACTTAAAATATTTGATTAAATTGTTTACTTCGACGGTATGTAAATTAACAGCGTTTGACTTGCAAGACGTCAAAAACGGACGATTTCAACGCGCTGCCGTTTATCGCGTATTCATTTGCCCAAAGAAGTATTTACGTCAATTGAAAGCTTGTTTATTAAAGAGCCAACTAGTAGAAGCATGATCGATTTGGAGCTTTATCCCATGGTGAAAATCGGTTTTGTTAAGAGGGTATCGTAAATGAGGTAAGATAGTGTGCTCCAAAACTACGATTATTTCTATTCCTAAAAGTAACTCAGATTTCCTGTAAGTCACGTACCCGGTCCTTTGAATAACCGAAAACAAGATTTTTAGGGTTTTAGATCGATTAGAAACGGCTGTCGTCGTGAAATTTGTCGGTAAAATCAGCGCATATTTTCCCAGACAAAATGGCGATTTAGGGTGGTCGTGTTAAAACGGCATTTTCTCAAAGTTAAAAAAGCATTTGACCTAAAAAAATATATAGTGCATTTTCCGATATAATAAGGTATATCTGGGCAAAATTTGAGCAAAATCGATTTTTCCGTCGTGGCCGCCTTATGTTTGATTTTTGTGGACATCCTCTCTTAAGTGTAGAGACAAAACATATAGTAATGAAAGGAGCTTTTAAATCTGCTCTTCGTAAACAGTTGGCGTGGTTTATTTTAAGCACTGCTATTACTATTGTTATGACTAAATTTTATATTGTAATTTTGTATAGCATCGTAGTTTTTAGTAAACTGTATGT